AACCATACTATATGCATGTTTGTGAAATCAAAGTGAGGGCCATGAGAGAAAGTATGATCGACTTCTGATAACAAACACTAGCAGGTACAAAGACGCTGAAACACAGGGCGCGGCAGCTGCCAGGAATGTGCTCAAGGCATCTCACCACACCCAACCTCTCTCTTGCTTTCTCGCTCCCTCTCTCTTTTTTACACACTCTCTCTTCCTTGCTCAACCCCTCTCTTCCCCCCTGATCTCCTCCCTCTCTTGAGTCACCCAGCTGGCTTGGAACAGGTATGCAGGTCCAGACAGGAGCTAAATCCAAGCTTGCACCTTAGCAGGGCTGGCTTAGTAGGCTGTGTCAGGTATATTTGAATTCAAAAAAACTTTATTGACAAGGCTTCTTCAATATTGACAGTAGAATTAGATGAAGATGAAGAAATCCTGTGACTTTTTTTTATAGATAGATAGATAGATAGATAGATAGATAGATAGATAGATAGATAGATAGATAGATAGATAGATAGATAGATAGATAGATAGACTCATTTCTTTATGCTTTGCCAGGAAAATGAAAAATAGGTGCAGCGACTTATTGAAGGATCTTGAAAGTCAATATTTGCCAGATAAACTTTTTTTTTCGTTAATTAGTTTTTGAGAATACCTCTCCAAATAAAATGTCTAAAGAAAATGTAGAATTGATTCCTTGATTCTCTGTTAAGTGTAAACACAACACAGGTTCATCCCTTGAGTTAGGGATGCCTTTTTACGCCGATGCTGATTCATACGTCGGTTTTAAGAAGTATAATAAGTAAAAACACAAACAAGACTCTCTGAAAATGGCCAATTACAAGGACTGGACTGAAAATAAGAGAAAAGGCAGCCAATGTCCAAGGAAAAACTTTGAAAAACCTTCAGAAAGCACAGAGAACCATTGCTCACGACTGGTTGGCCCTCCTGGGAGCAAAAGGTAAAGAAATTGGGTGTGGCTCAAGACTTTTGCACTTATTACAGCAGAGGTGAACCGATATGGGAAATATGTTATCTTAAAAAAAAGATAAAAACTACATTAAATGAAGTATAACTAGATGTGATAGAAATAATAGCCATAAATTCATAATTATTTTATCAGTATATGAGGTAACAAAAGTTGCTGATCCATTTATATCAAATACTATCATGTAATGCTATAACAGCTCATAAAAGGTGAGTATTAGTATGGATGGTGTGATATAAACCCTCTTGTTGATTAATGCAGTTCGGGGATGATTGTCACAGTTGTGTTTATGCCATTTTAGGAGGCGTTTCTCATTTTTGTCCATCCCATTTATGTTCATGGCGCTGTACTTGTGTGTATAATACGAAGCAATTCAAAAGCACCACAAGCCCCAAAACCACCGCAAAGTTCCCGTCATGTGATCAGTCAAACAAACAAGAACTGAATATTAACTGTTGTGTTGCTAGGAGACCCTAATAAACCATGGCATTTTTCTCTTTGTGACCGTTTCATAGTCACATTTTTCCTTCAGTCTCAGAGTGCAGAACAGAGTGATATGAGTCAAAATCAGGAGTATCTGTATCTGACTTCATGTCTTATCACCGCGTGTGTCCATGTCTGCTGCAGCTTCCAGTGCAGACTTAATCACCATTTTCTAGGAGCAACAATAAGAGGAGGTTGCTCTTTGAGTGTGCCCTTCTTTGTCTGTCTCCACACTGCTCTCTGTGAGCTTTCCCAGCATGCTTTTCTCACCATGTAATGTCACACCGGAGTATAAGGTGACTCCCTGGAGCCAGAGGCTTTGAGGTCATCTTTACACCACTGTGCCGAGAGGAAAGGTGTCCAACGCTGTACAGTGCACTGTACTGTAGGTGGCTGTGGTGGGGGGGAGCTGTGTTTCTGTGGAGTTTGAGTAAACGTGGAGTCTAATGCTAACAATACAACACTGCATTCACCATTACTACCCAGGGTCTGATGATAAATACTGATAAATATTGGTGCATCCGAGTGTTTAATGACCTGATTATATTTTTTTATGTTGTTGCAAAAGATGACACCTGCATAATCCCTGTTAATTGGATCTAAAATTAATTTAATGAGCTTGACAAACTGGCGTGTGACTGTGTGCGTTTCTGCTTCATCCAGAGCCTGAAGCCTGACGCCTAAAGCCTTCCAAGGAGACTCTGTTCATTTTTAGTACTGGGCGGGCACTTGTTATGAACTGTAAACAGCTCAGGTAGAAGGAAAGTCCCCAATGAGAGTGCAGCGTTTTCATTTAAAGTATGTGTTCTTGGTGCGATGCAGATAAATGACAGACCAGCGCCACTGCATACTTTGGGCAGGTGTTGTCGTTTTAACGCTATTATTACCACCTGTCACACGTGATGGTAATGATTATTTATGAAACAATGTGCATAACTTCACAGACAGACGGACACAAAGTCTGAGCAAACAAGGGGCTGATTTATCAAAGCTAGATGCCTTTCGACTGAAAGCCTGCTGTGACCTGCTGCTGCTCAGTCAATCAAAAAGGAAAGGAAAACAAGAACACCCGAGGCCTTCCCTTTAACAACTATTTCTGGGGGGATTTTAAATATAGTTTTACATCAGGTAATATGACACATTTTAGAGGGCTTGGTCCACCTTTGGACATGAATGTCACCAAACAAGACAGATTTGTTCCAGGACCTCACGGATCACTGCTGACTCCTACGTGAAGTTCAGACCTTTATAATGTGGTTTTGGATGAACCTTATTAGACATGAAACGTGCTTCAGATTCACAGTTGTGGTCAGAAGTTTAGAGACACTCACCTTGAACTTGAATGCCATGGTAATTTTAAGGCTTTTAATAATTTCTTTGCACTGTTCTTTTTCCAAAGTGGAATGATTGTACCGTGAACATCGTTAATAACTTTAAAAGACAAGAATTTGTTGCACAACTTTGAATTTATTTTGGATTTTCTCTAATCCATACAGAGTCAGAAGTATCCATACATACAGCCCCACTAATGTTTTGTCATTTCTCTGCGCCTTTGAAAGTTGCACTTCAACAACAAGCTTCTGGTTCTATTCTGGCTTGATATTTGACTTCTCTTCTTGGCAGGAGGGTTCATTTAGATAGGTTAGTTTACTGGCACGTACATGGCTGTTCAGCCTAGTCCACGAATTTTCAGTAGGGTTGAGGTTGGTGTTTTGAAAAGCCAAAAGCTTAAGGTTAATCTGCTTTATCCAATCCAAAACCAGTTTTGTTGGTACACCCAACACCTACCTTAGATTTGAAAAGAAGCTGAAGAAGTGCGTCCACTTTGTGCACTGTACCTGTACCACTAGCAATAAAACAGCCCTGCAGCATGATGCTACCACCACCGTGCTTGACAGGCTCCTTCATGGTCAATCTTGGAGCAATAGCTTTTCCAAATCAATTTCCTGTCACTGAGGGTGACAGATTGGGTCTTCCCAGAGACTTTGGCAAATTAGTGACACATCTGAATAAACTTGTACTTGCAAATGTATGAACTGATGATCTTGGAATCAGTACTTGTTTGGAAATGGATCTTGAACTTTCCCATTCTTCTGAGTATCAGTTAATCCAGTGAGTGCAGTTACGCAAATCCTTTTTATGATTGCAAAGAGAAACTGCCAGTTGTAGTCAGTCAAGTGATGTTTACAGCTCTTGGCTATTTTAAATTAAAGTACACTATAGAGCCTTCAGCACCACTTACTAAAGGACCAAAGTGAGTGTATATATAATTTTGATCCTGTGTGGATTAGAGAAAATCCAAAACAAATTACTACTTGTGCACCCAATTATTGTTTTTTAAAGTTATTAAAGATGTGTGATATACAGTCATTCGACCTTGGAAAAAGAACAGTTCAAAGAATTCATCAAAAGCTCAAAATCACATTAAGATTTAAGTCACTAATGAGTGGATACAAACTTCTGACCACAACTTCAAATCTCAAGAGGTTCTGTTTGTACTAATAACTCTGACTTGAACTCTGCCAAAGTGTCATATGTGGGCTGCAGGATGAAACTGCAGATCAGCAGGTGACTAAGAATGTTAAAGGTGTAAACATGCAGCGATGTAATGATGGCTGTCTGCCACAAAACAAGCTGACGAGACAGTTCGACCTATGACTGGATTTAGAGAAATGTACCCTGATCACTGAAGACAGAAAATATCTGTGGACGTTTTTAGCAGATGACTTTTGTGGGGGTCATTTAGAGTCATCAGTACGACCTTATGTGGTTCCTCTCCCCAGCTTTCCAGCCATACTAACTATGTTATATGTAACCACGCTTACGTATCGTAATGGAAAGTTGATCCTGCTTAGAAGAAACCATCTTATGACTGGAGTCCAGAGTCCTTAAAAGAGTTGTTTCCACTGAGCTCCAGAGGATCATCAGCAGTGGAGCATGGTGTTAGCTATCTGTGTTATACTGCCCTCTACTGGGCGGAACTTGAACGTGTTCTTAGCTGAAGTTTAAAATAGTTTGCAAATCTCTTCAAAATGTAACAAAACCTCGAATAATAAACGCAATCCACTGACGAAGGCGACTAAACGTGTTTTTTCTTAGAATTGATAGCAATAAAAATAAGAAATACAAAAGGAGCTCTTGAAAAGGGTAAAATAATTGATCAATTGTGGAAAATGATAAATAAATAAACTGTTGTTAACTCCCATCTTGTAATTCTGAGGTTTATTGTTACACTTTCAATGATATTGCAATAAATGAAATCGTGTTTTTAACCGAGTCTCACACTATTGTGCTGCCCTTTTTAATGTTTTGACGACTCTGTGCATGATTCAGTGCTGTAGATTATTCATAAAATCCACTTCTAAAATAAGGCACGCATATTCAAACGTCAGCAAAACTGGGATCAAACTGTGGCGCAAACACTTTGTTGTTGATATTTCGCGAGCTCTGCGTCATATTTTCGCACAGTCTGAAGGGAAAATGAAACTGATGTTAAGTTTCGATTCCACGCCAAAGCTGATATTAGAGCGTATATACAGAAGCAGCCTGCAGGTCAACATTCACGAATCAAACGCTACTTATTTCACGTCGGCGTTTCACCTCAGCGGACAGAGTTAATCCACAACCGAACAGCATGAGCAGATCCACAGGTAAGACATAATTTATTTCATTAAGTATTTTATTAATATGAGGTGGGAAATTTTTTTTTTTTAATTTCTTGCAGTGTTTGTTTTGATCACCATGGCTGCGGCGTCAGCATTTAAGTAGCAGTGTTAAAGAGTCAGACTTAATTTAAAACAGAGGAGGGAAAACAGCTTTTTGATGAGCTTGATGATTTTTTTACATTTATTTTTCACTGTCTGCATTTTAAAACTTTTTTTTTTTTTTTTGCTTTTTTCTATCCAAATGACAGTGATGTTGTGTAGTTTAGTTTGTTTTTGTGTTCTTAGTTTTTCTTTTTCTTTTTTTACTCCTTTGTGCAGAATGGATTCCTGCTTTATGGTTGGACGTCTTTAATGAGCTGCTGTATGATGACAATCAGCTTGATTATGAAGACCAGTGGACTCTCAACTTTAGCTACAGCCAGACAGACACAGTCACCAAGGACGAGAGGAAGAGAGGCTGGAAGGTTTATGCCCACTGTGCCCGTGGAAAGTATGTTCCCTGAATACTGTCAAAATTTCTTGTGTTAATTTCCTTCAAATAGAGCCTATGTGAGGTAACAGTCACTGACAATATTAATACATATGCTGCAAAGGAGACATAGATACAAACATTTCCTTGCTATGGTTACACAGTCTCCACCCATTCCTGTCCACATGAGCAAACAGCTGATCTGATGACATGTCTGCGTGACAGCTGTCTCACAAAGCTGTCTACTCAAATGGAGAGAAACTTGTTCTGCCACCTGGTTAAATAAGTAACCTGAGCAAGTTTCTTCTTCTAACCTAAAATCAGAAAGAAAGTTGGACCCACAAGTTGCCAGACTGCCCACTAAAGCCTTGTGTGTCTCTAAGTCTGTTTTCCACTCAAAGGAAGAACAACAGTCATTTAATTAATGAAGAACAAGGGGGGAAAGAAGCAGTTCATTTTCTAGAAACAGAACTGAGGATTGCACAAAAAGTCTTATCATTTCTTATTCCTCGTGGTTTATCTCTACGTGGCACCCATACTGGCCCCATCCACCCTCCCCTATAAAGTCATCTGGCTGGAAAGTCATACGATTTAGAAGAGCAATATGATAAAGCAGCTGCGATATGGGAAAAGTGAACGCCTGCACTGACATAGCAAGGTTAGCGATAACTACAAGGCTGAAAATAACTCTGTGCTCTGTATCTAATCACTTCTCCACAGATTTCAGTGTGCGTCCTGCAGAAAGACCTGGCCCTCAGCACGAGTGGTGGTGTTGTTCCGATACCGGCTTCAGAGGGGCCGCGGGACGGTGATCATGCGGCCCTTCGGTCAGGCCTGTCGTCGGTGCCAAGATGGTTATGAGCTGGGTGGATTTTCCGAGAATGAGGTGGAACATGCTCTGCTGAGGGTGTTTGCCAAAATCAGGAAGAACTGCTACGGCGAGGATGATGATGACGACGATGTGTCATCCACAGAGTCCACCGTAGTGCGGACCAGACCCCACGAGGACAGCCTGTGTGAGGCATGCTGTATGGGCATTTGCTGTCAGGATGACAGCTAGAAGTGTGTGCATGCGTGTTTGTTTGTGTGTGTGTGTGCGCGTGTGTGTGTCTATCAAAGTGTGAGTGCCATGACAGCCTCCTTTTCCAGTTTGCACATGAAATTTTCTTCAGCAATTTGAAGTTTAAAGGCTTTTTATTGTTATGAAGGTTCTTGGTCCGGTAAAAAACAACAACAAAAAAACAGGACCAATCACCAGATATGATAAATTTTCTATATTTTTTATTGTATTGTATTCGTACTAATTAAGTAATAAAATTTTGTGAAATTGTGATCAAGTTGGGTTTCTCTGATCTATTTTTTATTTTTCTTGAATTGATCTTTTACTGTAATAGACATGAGAATAAATGGGATTTATGGGATGGGATTTTATAGAAGCTGAAATTAATTTAGATCATCCTTCAAAAGAACCGCCCAAAAAAGTTCCTGCAGATGTTTCAAGATGTCTGACGAGAGGAAAGATTTGGTTCAGGAAGGATTTATTTGCACGTATTTAGAGTAACCTGAGTCAAATATGGAAAAATCCAGCACTGTCATTGTGATAATATTTTATGATAATATAATATTTTTGTAACTCACATTAACTCACATTATAAATCATAACAGGTATAATTTTCTGAAATTATTATTATATTTTCTGCAGGCCTTGATTTTTTTATGGGAACGTGATAATAAACTTCAACTACACATTAAAATATAAAACACCACAGGAAGCTCGAGTCCACAATAATGTTAAAACCGGAACTACTAAACTGACATACGTGTTCACGAATACTGGTTCGATGACTTCAGGCTTCCTATTCTGGGCACCTCGCATTGTTTTCATTTATTTCAATTTTCTATTGTTGTTACCGTGTAAAGTCAAAAAGGGAGAGCAGCGAAAAATATTTAACAGCGAAAGTTTAGAGCATATTTTCACTTTCAAAGAATAATTTACAAACATTTCAATTATTTTCATTCATTATTTTTTTGCACAAATATTATGTAACCACAGAACACAGAGGCACAAGTATAAAATGCATCCAAAGCATGATTAATACAGACATAATACTAAATATATATTATTTCCCCTTAATTTACTAGAAATTAATAGACAACTGTAAAAAAATAAATAAAAAAACCCTCTAAAACTGGGTAAAAACAATTAGAAAAGTTTGATAAGCTTTCTTCTTCATCCAAACATTCAGGAATGAGCCAAAGATTATAATTATCACAGAGCTTATCAGGACAGACATGCAGCAGTTTTGCTGAAGGTGACTGTGCTCCGGGGTGTTTTTACAAAATACACAGGAGAAAATTCCCCACGGGTGTGAAATGCTTTCAGATAAGAATGCCACAGGAGGAAAGTCACAGGAGAATCAAGAACACATGAGAAAACTCAACTTCATATTTAAGCAGTTGTTTATGTCAGGTAATGAGTAACACTTCAGGACACTCTCCTGGCTCCTGCAGGAGCTCATTTATTTCCCATATCTACATCTTTTGACCTGGCACAGGTTTTGCACTGGATGCACTTCCTGATATGAGCAGCAGTGACAGTGCACTATCATTTGATTCAGTTTATCCTATCTGTCCAGAAGTTGATTCTGTTCATCTGGACGTAGCGTTTTCAGTGGGAGAAACGTTTCGTCACTCATCCAAGTGACTTCCTCAGTCTCAGCTGACTGCAGGTTTCCCAACCTTATAAACAGTACATTTGCACAATGACTGAAACCAGCCCACTGAAGGAACAAAGGGCTGTGAGGTCAGTTCCTTCATCATAATTATGCAATTTTTCATGACCATTGATTAACAACCACTGATCAACCTGCAGTCAGCTGAGACTTCCGGGTTGCAGGGGCAGCAGCCCGAGCAGAGAAGCCCAGAATAGGAACATGAAATATCCTGAGTTTCAGTATCTGTTAGTTTATTGAAATAAATGAATACGTAAATAAATGAGTAATATTAATAATAAAAACTTGCCTGGTGAGGTATTTGTTGAGACTATGGCTGTCTACAGGACTAAGAGTCGCTGCTTGTTTTTATTGTTGTACCTGTACAGATGTTCTTGCCTCTGACATATGTCCTCCGTGCATGAAAGATAAAAACTAAAACTGAAACTGAAACATTTGCAAACAATAAAAACTAAACTGAAAAGAGCAAACACTCTGGATATGAACTGAAACTACACTGAATCGAGAGGAAAAAGTCCAAGTAAATGATGCAATAGCGGAGACTGCATGGAAAATGAAAGCGATGTTAAGTTTTGTTTTCCAAACACACACCTGAGAAGAACAAACAAAAACTGCTACCACCAGGAGGATGACGATGCAGATAGTGGGAGGTCATCATCAGAGCCTGAAGCGAGGACCAAACCCCACGAGAACCAGGCATGCCGCATGGGCATTTGCTGTGTGGATGATGAAAATGATGACTAATGTGTGTGTGTGTGTGTGTGTGT